TGAATAGACCGTATGTGTGGTATGCACAAATCCTCACATGACGGTGCGGTAGTAGCAGTCGTCCATAGCAAAGGGGTTAAACAATGGTTAACCCCTAAAGCTGCAGCCTCTGGTCAACTTATAGCTTCTGTGCACTCTCTTCCTTCAGTCAAAATTAAGCTTGCCACTTCATTATCTGAAAGTTTATTAGGCTTCGCCAAAACTGAGCACATACCAACCTCAAACCATCCTGACATCAACTGCATTCACTTTTTTCTCAACACGGTGCCGTATGCACTAATAACCTTGCCCAATTCAAAGGAGTAAAATCTCATCTACGGTTTCAAATATGAGGACATCACTGCTTTCCGATAATGCAAGCTGTGATGGCGGAAGTACACTTACCATATCTGGCACAGTTCTCAGCCAATTCTATGTCAGGCATGTGTGGCACACCCAGCTTTCTTGGGTCAGTATGGAGTGCACGATAGACACGGGATAGACTTGTTGAAGCCAATGGTAGGCCTTCTTCCTCCAGATTCTTTACAGCAGATTAAAAAAAAAAGCAAATATGATATGACCATCATATTTCATCGACCCATCCCAAAGTTGAATCAAATGAATCAGACGCACAGCTGACTTTGACATTATCTTCACAAAGTTTATCACATCACATGAATGACTAGTCGATTCATAGTCCAGAATGGTATTTGTAGGTGTGCCAAGTTCAAGACAAGAGCCTTCATCCACCAACGCTCAACTTGCTTTGAGGAGGAATGCATATTAACCACTTGCTGCCGGGTGCTTTGAAAAATGCAGTGAACACATACAGGCGATTTTCAAGATTTTCAGGTTTCAAAATTCTTTAGAAACTCATCATTTCATTTAATGGACGTTTACACCCACACGAATGACTGTCTGGTGGCCACTAGTCTGACAGACAAAATCTATTGATGCCCGAGTATTTCAACCAGGCCTGCAGCCTAGTAAAAGGGCCCAGATTGTGCGGTGTTATGTAAGTTTCTTTTGTTCCCGAAACCGGCACAGTGCACTCCTGGCGTCTTTTCAATACGGGCCAGATTAGCGTGCAGCAGTATTGTATCGCTCATCACTGGAGTGCTGGAGAGCTTTTGTCCCCGGTGGTAATCTGCTTGTGCTGAATGCCACAAATAGTGGTATAATCTTTCAAAACATGGACAGATTTCCTCAGATATTGACAACTGAAAAAATGTTGGCAATCCCCAGCAGCTTAGTCTTTTGTGCGGAGCACGGTCTTTTGTTACAAGGCCCAGCTCTTTTGTCTGGTTTCGGGCTCCCCGGATACGAGCTAAAGCCTATGTGCTCGAAAATGGCAGCAAGTGGTTAATTAACAGCTTTGTGGATTCTCAACAGTATCTTTCACAATTGCATTACAACACATGAAGGGTTTCTTAATAGATCTAACACATAATGACGCCACCTGTGCACTTTTCTATGGGGAATCAATGTATTGGGTACCACCTCACTGTTACAGGAAAGCACACACGTATTAAACAAAGCATGACGTCATTATGTTACAGATCTATGGATACTATTCACCATGAGGAATGGTTGACAAGGAGAAGTCATTACAATCAAATTTCTGCAACTCTGTTTTTTTTCCCAAGCAGCTTTTCACATTAATCAAGAACAGCACACGCCTTTCATAACTTGGGAGTGAAAGATCAACAGGAATTTCACCAACATCAAACGTGAGAAATCTCAGTTGGACTTTCTGATTTTTGTAGATCACAAAAAGATCTTTCATTCTGGCTAATGCATCTTGTAGATTCAGAAGTACCCACTCTTGCTTTTTAGATGTTGGTGGATTAGATGGGAACAGACATATGGAAACTGATGGTTTATGAAAACTAGGAGAGAACTAACCTTCCGGATTTCCATGATAAGGAACTTGGTGTCGTACAGGTGGGGGAATAACTTGTGAATGTTCCTCTTGAAGTCTTTGAATTTGGCTGCACGTGAACATACGACAAAAAAAGAGTGCATGTTAGCAGGTGTGTTGGAGGCTTTGAAGTTGGCCCAATATGCACTCACCTTCAGAATGCTTTAACTTGGTTGATAGAGCCCTTGATAGTTCATAAATAGTGCATATGGTTTCAATGTCATAAATAAAATCATGTAGGCTGAGCAAGCAGTAATTCATCTTACCAGGTAGCGGCTTGTAGAACTTGGAATGCAGAAAAAGAAGGTCCGTCAGGAAATTGTGACCAATCACAGGCTTTGGGGGGACAAAACAATGGAGAGACTAGTCACAAGAAAACAACTATAACAGACATGTGCTCATGTATCTTTTGTATCTAATTAGTTTCAATGTGATATGCCGGAAAATCTCAGATGATGATTCGATAGTTCATTGCCTACAGAAACAAGAAACATTTAATATTTTACCTTCTTCAGCTCACTGATGTGTCTGAAGACTTTGTTGAAGCCAGCAAGCTTAACAAATAGCCTACAGAGAAACAAAATAAGAGAACTGACAAGCCAACTGACTATAGCTGAGGGAAAAGAGATGCATTTGATGATGTCAAGCTGGTGAAAGTTATGGTTAGGTGCCTTAGGGAAATGTGTTAATCTTGACATGTTGGAGCAAAAGTCTCTTTGAATCTGATTTGTTTAAAAAATGAAAACCTTTGCATTAACTTCAAATATGAGTATAAAGCAACACTTCACTGCAGGACAGCCTTATTTGGTGGGTATCTGGTAATGCATGAAAAAACACTTAGATCCAACACCCTTTTTTTATTGGAAAAAAAAACAGAAGAAATGAGTCTCTTGAAACTAATAACCTTTCTATCCAAGGTGTTTCATCTGCAAGCAATGCTGCCCTTTTTTCTGGAGTCACTTTTGTTATAAGAATCTGGAAGAAAATGAGAAATTTCAATCAATTCTTTGCGCGCCACTGTTTTGCACAAATAAATGATGAAAACAATGCTCCTTTTGACGATTCAAAGTAATCTCTCTGAGGACAGACTAAAACTAAAGACGAATTTACAATGTCCGGTGGAAGAACAATTTACCTCCCCAGTGCCAACCTGTGAGGTCCAAATTGTTGGGAAACAGTCCCTCAGTAATGCCTGTACCTGAACGGACACTATGTCTAAAGGAAAACAGAACAAAATGAAGGTATAAGTTAGTTTGCTTCATTTCCACAGTACATGAATATGTCGCACTACAAATTATACTAAGTTTGCCATTCCTTGCTGATGCATATACACTAACGCTGTAGGCTTCAGTTACTGTGTCTCGCATTATCACTGTAATAACAAGTCTCAACTAGGCAGCCATCCAACACTTTGGCTACAGTACTCAATCTGAACTCTGATGTAAACTTAACCTATTCCTGAATTCATCATCATTCCACTGACAACTGACCTCAAAGAATGATGTTCAATGAATTCAAACTTCTGCTCAGTGGACAGCTATTTCCCCCATTTTTTTTCATATTATGAAGTTTCATGGTAATTACAAAGGATTGTGCAAGTCAGTAAACACAACCTACTTTCACTCACCATCAGAAATCTTAGTCATGCTGAGTTGGTCTCCTTCCTTGGCGGTTGGCAACCAGTCTGATATCGCTGATGTGAAATTTGTCACCAAATAGTCATCAACGTCACTAGGCAGAACAAAGGCAATAGGAGGGTTTTACAGTCCAATTATGGCATCATTTTCCACTTGAGGATGTGTAAATGTGATCCGACCATGTTTACACACAGGCGCTGGTGGCAAGTTGAACTGTCATGTGTGCACCGTTTCACCTGCAACTGATGATTCCATATATGCTACTTTCCCCATTAATGTTGTATGCACACCACATCATAGCCGCCTAGACATCTGTGGATGTGTTGACCTTCAGTGGTCGCTGTGCATGGCTTGTTGTGGTAACAAATATCGCTCCTTGGGTTCCTAGTGTTTAAAAAACTATGAAATATTGCACAAATGCTGTGGAAATGACTCTGAATAGTCAGTTCTTGTGCCATTTGGCTGTGCATCAAAGTTTGCAGCTATATTTTACCTTTTTCAGAAGTCACAATTTTCAGCAAAAATATATACTGTAAAAGTAGGGCAGTGAGAGTCGACAGCTAAGGGAACGTCTCAAAAATGGGTGACGTTCCAGTTCCGTTGGACCATTCCCACTGGAACGCTGGTATTCCATCGGAACGTGCCTGCATCGCAGGCACGTTCCAGACCGTTCCAGGCAGCATTCCGTTGGGAACTTGCATTCCCAGTGGAACGGTAAGATTTTTGGCATTCATTTCCTTGACCCTGAGCCTGAAGCATGGCAGCTGGAGTGCAGCATTTTGTGATTTCCTCCTGATGAAGGTTAACTTTTCTCCTGTTTTTCGTTTCCATATTCACCATGACAAAGCTTACCATGCAATGAGTATAGAGTATATCTGGACACCGTTAATTTTATTGTGTTAATGTTAACGTCTGTACTTGTGAGTGTTTAATTCATTGTTGGGTTTGCGTGATAGAGGGATTTATCATCGCAATGTTTCCACTCAAAAGTATTCCATCATATCAGAAACAATTAAAAAACCTCACCAGTAATTCAAGGGGTGCAGGGTGAGGTCTTCAAGTATCACGGAAAAGGTTGAACGACACGACCCGAAAGGAGATGTTCCGATGGGAACGTGTGTTCCCGTTGGACCGTTCTCACAAGGGAACATCGCATTTCCAATGGAACGGCTGACTGTTCTGGAATGAGTACACAGCGTTCCAATGGGAATGTTCTGACTGTTCCGAATTTTGAGACGCTCCTTAATTGGTACAACTAAATTCAGTATGAATGTTTATGTATTTCATACGAGGAGAAATTATTAAATATTACCTCGTCAAGATACTCTCTTGCCCCTGACATTGTTGCCTGAGTTCTTTCTCTGCCTCCATACTGAGGTAGCTGACTCCTTCATAGAAAAGCTAAGATGAAGGGAAAATGGACTGCAACATTTAGTCCATTCGGAAAAATCTCTAGTTGCTTTTTACCATCACTATTCTTGCATCATGTAAAGGTTGCCCAAAAGAACAAAAGAAACTTGAAGCAATTGGCTGTCTGGTAAAATTGGAGGATCTGATGTCCATAGTTAAAGTCAAACAAAACTAAGAGTTTTTGTTTAAACATCCCTTATCGTGATGTAGACCTTGGGCAGATGCGACGATACAAGTAGCTGTCTTTTGAGCGCAAAGGGTGCAATAAATAATCATTTACCTTGTTGAAGTCAAAGCCATACTGACAAAGAAACTGAATACTGGATGCCTGTGGTCAGAAACAAATAATCTTTGATGAGTTTACTTTCCAATCTGTGTCAAAAGCACAACAACCTGAAAACAAAATTCAATACTGCAGCTTTCTGTGCTCTGTGGCTATCAAGGCTTGGCTACCTTCACCACATGAAAATCTAAGACAAAAAAAATCATTGTGGAAAAGTGCATTGGAGTGTTTAGTGCTGACAGTGTAGCAAATCACTAGCCTATGGAACGGTGAAATCTTTTGAGAGCTGCTTGCTGGATGAACACCTGTACACTAGTGGGACTCTGTGTGAAATTCACGCAAACATAATTATAAAATCACCTTACATGCCCATCAGAGATGTCACAAATCCTTAAAAAGCCATCACAATCACAAGTCATCAAGTCAATTAAATTACAACTGATTTTACACATAGCCATTAATTTGTCACTGCTACTTATAACCAGGCTTGTGGAGTATGACGGCCTCAACAACACTGGAAACTAATGAGGAAAATTCCGCTGTCAAGAGCACATCGGTAGACGTTAAAAATTTACAGAACACATCCCATAACAGTCAGAAAAGCATCCAGTGAGCATCAAGACACAAATTTACATCACATCGGCAAATGTTGTTGAGTGTCCTTCATTGACTTGCAATGCAGTCAGATTTGAAGGGAACTCACTCACCTGGCAGTAAAACCTTGCATCGACGGTGGAACAACTCCTCGGGAACAGGTAGAAATTGTAGGTATGAGCACAGTACCTGTGGATATGTGTGTGACAAATATTCAGCAATACAGGGGCCAATTTCATAGAGCTGCTTATGCACAAAATTTGCTTAAGCGTGAAAAAACCTTGTTTGATGAATCAAGTTACCAGCCAAAACTCTATGTGATGCACATTGTTTTGGAATGGTATTCACCTGTCTTTTGGTTAGCATGACAATCACATAGATTTTGAGCTGGTAACCTTTGTATTTTAAGGAAGGTTTTTTATGTGCTTCAGCAGATGTTGTGCTTAAGCAGCTCTATGAAATTGGCCCCTGTGGGTGATTCACAAAAGTGCACCTGCAAGAGTTGGCAACGTGTTGGCCAATCACGATGTGCGAAATCTGTCGACCCAATGCACATTTAGACAGGGTCAACAGATTTCACGCGCTGTGATTTGAAGCTGAAAGATGATAGATGCAAAGGGAGTACATGTCACAAATTTCCCATGTGACCCATCCCTTCAATTATAAAGTTTGCTCAAATTCCATCACTGATAGTTAATGTCTGGGTTATAAAACTTCTTTGATAAACGTTTGCTCATTCATTCTAAGTTGACATCAACAAGATGACAAACACGATGAAGGTCATTTTTCCCCTCATATCACTATGTAGTTAAAATGGAATATTCCAAATGCAGTCTATAGACAAAGCCCTCTGTATGTTCTGTGCATGTACAAGTAATCTTGGGCCCAGTTATAGAGGCTTACCTGTTCTCACTTGGGGCTTTGATGAATGCCGAAAGCCCTGTGAAATGAATGTGTCATAAAAGTCAATCAGAGTCATTTGCAATTTGGAAGCTTGTGAAACACTTTCTCTTTAACATCAAGATCAGTATTACAAGACAGCTACATGTACAGTACCACAGAAAGAGAAGACATGCAAACTCTAAGATCATTTGAATAACAAAAGTTGCTGTGAGAGAAAATAAGTGACAGTATGTTCAACACAGTTGTGCAATATACGCAAATACATTTCATGATCCCTTAAACTCAACAAAACAAAGTCACACAAGTAGCTGGAAACAGTTTGACTTTAACAGCACAAGACAGGAAGAGTTCCAATTAACCCTAACCCCCAAGGGTGTACGTAAAATCATATTGAAATTGTAGGATTTGGGACTGTTACATGTAGGTTAAGGACATCATTACTTATCCCTGCATACATGTACATGTAGCAGCCCTCAGACAGTGATCACTTGTCAATAGTAAAGCTTTTTACTTAGAAAACGTTGTATTTTTTAGGCCAGTCTCACAAAGTTTGTGCACATGGTGTGCATACATATATGGAGCTCTTTCCAGTAAGATATCATCAGTATTCAGGAGCCATCATTGATTGATGAGAAGTTGATGCGGTACTGATGCGATGATGCTAGGGCAATTGGGCATTACATGCCAGCAACCGTACATCATGCACACTTCATGACAACTGTTTCCTTTTTTTTTTGCATGCTTTCAAATTCACAATGTTCTGTGTCTCAGATGCACAGGGTATCTTTTGGCTTACCCAGCTGACAGAGCGTGAAGTGACTTGCCGTCTGCCGTAGCTTACTGTACCTCTCCTGTGGCGTGTCAAAGAGGCTGTTGTGGCTGTCGGAATGAAAATGCAATCCAGTGAACTCGGTGTCAAGGGCTGCAAAGAGATATGTAAGCAATGCTGAGAATTGGTCTTCTACATGACGTCTTCCTGCAACTGAGCTGAGATGGTCCTTCTGCCTTGTACAGCAACAGTTAATTATAACTTTTAACATCATGCAACATGAGGCTGTGTGACCATGTTGTGACGGGCATCAGCACAGGAAATTTTAGTCATGTTGGTGTGGGCCCTGGTGTGAAATATATTGAGAAAGGCTATTTTTAATCCTTTTGTTAGGCCTACTGGGCCTTGACAGATTGCTGTCTACTATGGTTGCACCAATCTGATACACTGAAAATGGAAACCAGACCAGTCTAAAATAAATGGATCTCAGAATATTACACATAGGCCTACATATACATGTGTTTTCCTTAAAAGAAATCTTCCAGGAGAACAAATGTACCAAAAAATAAAAGATGTATGGAAAGAAAATGTACAATCTGATTGAGAAAATATAGAAAATAAAGATGATAAAAACAAGATGAATATTTGTGCTATTTGTAATCAGGTCAACTCGTACCAGGAACAACTCGTATCAAGGTCAACTCATACCCCCAAACTCCCGCCGAAGTCATCTCGTACCCAGGTCATCTTGTACTCACGTCAACTTGTATCCAGGACAACTCGTACCCAGGGCAACTCGTACTCCATACATTAGAATTTATTTCATGTCACTTACAAGGATTTTTTAAAATGAAGGAGAGGATTGTATTTGACATAATTAATCAGAAACAGAAAAGCAAATTGTCCTCGGTGTTTCATTTGTTCGACGAACATAAATACATGTATCAGGAGAAATTGTAATGTTGATAAGGAGAATTGTAATATCATCCTCGAATATCCCTTTATAAAGCAAGTTTTTTATTCTGAATATGTCGTTGGGTTGCTTGTTAATATCAATAAAATGCAATTACAGTCACTCTACAGTGTTTAAAGAGACTTTTCTTTCATTTGTAGGGATACGTTATTCCCTAATTAACTAGCTTTTGATCATTTTTGTTTCATGGAGAGAGTAGCAGTGTCTGGTGTTGAATAATTTTTTTGGGTCATCAGAGGGCGCTCTTTCATTTTTATGGTGTTGCAGGTCCAGGTGCACAAGTATACATAATTTAAGTTTGTATTAGGGCACACTTTTTGCATTACTATATTAAATAAAAAGTTCCTTTCTACGACAGATTGAAGCGGGGTCAAGGAAAAAATTATTTTTCCAATACTATGGGGCAATTCAGTTATTTTAAGCAAGGTCATGCAGAAGGGGCGGAGTAAGAGTACCTCAGTCCTTGGGCTGGGCCTACTTTTTGTTAGGATTTCCCTCCACGTTTGCGGGTCACATGTACAGATGTTCCGTAGAATGAACGGCTGGGCGACTGTATTTTGAAGCTTTACAAAGAGGATCAGTTGGCAAGGATTTATCTTTTTCAATCATAGGTTAATTTGGGGGTTAAAATCTGTTTTTTTTTCTTTTGTGGGCTTAATTCTGTAACAGCAATTAATGTGGTTGAAAAATTTATTTCTTCTGCCAAAGGTTTCTTTTCAACATGTAAAATAAACCACCGTGACCACTGCATGTAGAACAAGCAATAAACATCCGCGAACAGTGCGAGCAACCCAAACATGGTGTAAAGCCTCCAGTCCATCCCTGGACTCAACAAAAAAATACATTTTTTTTAAAGAATTTGGGTCTGGGCCACGCAGCTTTGATGATGCCGCTATTTCCAGGAAGACTTGCTTAGCAAATTTATTGATTGTAAATCTGGCCTCAGCCAATTAAAAAGTTGATTCTTTGCAAGCAAAGCATCCATCGGTAGGACTGTTACACTTGCACAGTCCCAGAGTTATGCCACTGTTACATGTACAAAGAAACAACCAAAAATTCACTCATGACAATAATACATGCAAGGGCACAAATTGACTCAGGTACATGTACGAGTTGATGGGGGTATGAGTTGACAGGGGTACGAGTTGGCCTGGGTACCAGATGACCCAGATTCAGCTGTTTTAGAGACCTCTTTTGGTTGAGGAAATAGACGAGGCTGGAGTGGGCCGGAATCAAACCCAAAGTTAAAGTCGAAAACAAAGTTCCATAGCCTACGTATGCTAAATTAGCCCTACTTACTAGACACTAGATGGTTAAATACTTGTAACACGACTACTCACTAGTTTTTTGTTGTATCAGGCCCTAGGCTAAGGATGGAGCAAGAGCCAATGTCCGTGCCACACTAGTGGGGCTAGCCATAGGCCTAGTCTGTTTAGTTTGTTAAACATCAGAAAGCATTAATACAGTTTAAATTAAAAATTCAAATTTAAAAGTGAAAATATAATGCATTAACCAGACATGTTAGGAAACACTTTGAACATGACAGAACAGTGTATAAGATGACAATGGATCCTCACCCTGATCATAATGCATGATTGTCAAGTCATTTGTCACCTGATGTCCGGATTGGAACTCCTTTCGCAAGGCACAGACATGACAGAGCATAGAGCAAGGGACAGATGCATAGAGCAAGGACAGCGCAAGGCTAGGCCTACCATGATCAGTGATCATGCTTACTGCACCCATGGAGGTACATGATGTAGGCCTCCATGCTGCGCCTTTGCACTTACCGATGAAATCGCACTTTTCAATGGTGCTTAAGATACCAGGGAGAAGCTCCTCGAAGTTGTGTCTTGTAATGTTCGCCATATCTCGACTCGAGTAGACAGTACATGGACGTAACCTACATGAACAACTTAAATACAAAGCTAGTTCGAAGATGTTAACTTCGAATAGACCGCGTTGCGCCGGCACGTGGCTATGCATGCAGCCGGCTTGACGCAAGTGGAATCAAGAGGACATCGGACGAAATAGTCACTCTGCCCATTTCCACTTTGCCCATTTGCCACTTAGCCCATTTGCCACTTCACCCATTCGCCGAAAAGCCATTTCGACCACGGCTTTTTGTCAAATTGAAAACAGAGGAAGCCACAGAAAAACAACTGCCAAGCCCTTTCTGAATCCACTCTCGAATACCAGAAAAGATTGAACACCCCCCTTTTCCCAGTATTTCTGTTTAACCATTTCATCTTTTGAGGTTTTTCTTTGATGTGAAGCACTCAACACAGCGACAATTGACTGCCGGGAAGCCCGGCTGAGCCTGCAGCGACAACGTAAAAGCAGGCCTTACATTCCGAATTTCGAAAACTCAAAACTGACATGAAATGATTAAAAACCTTCAGAAATATTTCGGAGAGTTGGTTTACAGAATTGAAGCCGTGATCATGCTCCGAGTATTAACCGTGTTTCATGAGGTCTCAGTGCACACTGTTGAGAAACTTCTGAGTGTTATGGAATTCCACATCCGCCGTCGCCCGTCGTGCGTCGTCCGTCGCATCATATGAGGGGCGAATCGTGTCAGTGAAGCGCACTCCCTATTAGTCACAAAAAGTGGTTGCGCACAAAAAATGTTTAGTTGAATTCTCAGAGAGGCGATATTTTCTTGTCAAGGGGCAGGGGTAGTCTGGCATTATTGGAATTTATTATGTGACTAGTATATGCTTTGCAGGTGGGATTTGTACTTACCTTATTCGGAAAAGATCTTTAAAAGTGAATGGAATCATCACATTGTCATTTGTTAAACCCCAACTTTTGCAGGTCCTATGCAACCCATTTGATGGGCGACGCACGACGGGTGACACACGACGGGCGACGCAGGACGGAAAATGGCATGTTTGGAACTGGTAAATGGCAGAATTGGGACACAACAAAAAGCAAAGTGCGACGGGTGACGGCAGATATGGAATTCCATAGAGTGTTGTCCTTTCTAATCACATGTATCTCCTGTTTTTCCAGTTTCCTTAATTTTGTATGATTCGTGCTTTTACTTTCTGATGTCTGTTTGTTTTGTGTTTTTCTGATCAATAAAACAAAGACCAAAAAAACCCAAAAAAACCAACAACTTCAAAGAGACCATGCTTCATACATTGTAGTCTTGATTATTTTCATTATTGTATCCGAAAAATTGCACACGATAAAACCTCTCAAAAAAGGCATCCTTACTACATCAAACCTGGGCGTAAATCCCGGGGAATGGGGGTATATCTCCCCCAACTTTTTTGGAGGCCGGTGGGCTACTAGCCACAAATTACGAAAGCGGATTGTGAAGAATTTTTCAGACCTCCAAATAAAATGCATTCAGTACCATCAGTACCACTTAAAAAGGGAAAACAAGGCCATACACGTAGATATGCCAATGATGTACATGTATATAAGTATCATGAACATCGACCAAAATTATAGAGTCATATGGTACGTGTCACTCCCCCTTTCAAATTTGCAGGCCGGCCGGGCAGGCAACCCCCCACCTTTCCCTTCCCCCACATTTTCCTGCATAGGTTTAGGCCTACGCCACTGATGTTGCGGAAACTAGTGGCACATGGGCGAAGTGGAAAATGGGCCAGTGGCAAATAGGCGAAGTGGTTACAGGGTTACACAGTGACTATATACGGGGTATTCCAACAAATCGTCGTATTTCTGCGCGTGAGCCCACAGGATTTTACAATAACACAGGCCATAATCAGGAGGTATCAGAAATATTTCTATAAATCCCGAATTCGGGACTGATAGCTTCCAGTTCGGGGCATTTCTTTCACAAAAAGCCCCAAATTGCGGACCTATTTTGGATAGAGGCGGGTTGCTACATTCAGAAATGGGCGCTTAGTTTTACTAATTGGGGGGTATCTTCGTTCAAAGGCGAATAAATTTTTTTTTTCGTGGATAACCCCCATGAAATTGAAACGAAAAAGGATTTTCTGGCAATAATTTGAATTTCCAGCGCAAAACCTGAAGCTAACCTCTTCACGCGAGTCAACAGGCGGCGCTATTTCGGTCTGATTTTGCACTGTTTTCTATTGGGGCGTATTTAGCGTATTCCACACATACCAAATACACGCCCAGTGCAAAATCGGACCGAAATAGCGCCGCCTGTTGACTCTCGTGAAGAGGATGGCCTCCGTTTTTTCACTGAAAATTCAAGATTATGGCCAGAAGATCACAATGGGGGTCAGCCACGAATTCTTTTTATTTGCTTTTGAACGAAGATACCCCCAAATGGCAGTAAAACTAAGCGCTCATTTCTGAATGTAGCTGCCCGCCTCTATCCAAAATAGGTCCGCAATTTGGGGCTTTTTGTGAAAGAAATACCCGAAGTGGAAACTATCAGTCCTAATTTCGGGATTGATAGAAATATTTCTATGATGCCTCCTGGTATGATTTATGAACATGGAGCTAACAAAAGGACGGTGTGAACAAGTTCAAAGTGACATTTCAAGCAAAACACTCGATACAAAGGACTGGGGCAAACTTCCTGGCTGTCCACACCCAAATGTGTTAAGTTTGTCTGACAAACAATTGTGTAGACTTCAGCGTCAGGAAGTTCATTTGGAGCGCAAATTTATAGAGGGAAAAATTTTTCAAGGAATACAGATTTGCACGTTCCCATGTGCAGCTTTGACTCCGTTACTACAGTACAGACTGAAAAAATAACAACACAAATTCCATCAAAATTAAAGTTTCTTTTTTAATAAACAATTGAAAAAACCTTTCTTTTTTTATAAACAATGGAATAAAAATGATACGAGTACAAAAAACTCACAATACTGTGCGCATTACTGCCATTTCCCGTGCTGAAGCACACAGAAAAAATACTTTGGCATTAACGATTGATATACCAATTGAACAGAGCAAAAGCTAGATTTTCATATTCGATGGATTCTGCTGGCAAAAATTGGCTGAAATGGTTTCTACGAGTGGTACAAGATTAACCCTCACCGTGCTACAACTTCCAAAGCGCTCCAACTGCTGCACGTGAGGCAAACCCAGGTCTGCACTTCACGGTGCTGTTTACCGTTATACAATTTTTTGGTTTACCACAGCACAAAAAATTGCTTCACGGTAAGCATATCTCAAGGTGGACATTTCACAGTTGCTGTGATTAGTCCAAAAAAGCTTGGGCGCCGAGAGATTTCTATTGCTGTGTCACTAAATTAAGCGATTTTTTCCTATAAAGTCTTTTCCAATGCTTACTACTTGCGGTCTCCATAAAATACGCGGAGTCTCTGTCAGCGTGAAATCGTATGCTCAACAGCGCCTTGAAATTGGGCCTGCCCAGCAACAGTTCTGAGAGTAGCTTAATGAAAAGGGAACCATGGGTGTCACAAGAGAGTGGGGGAAAATCGGGCACTTTTTCTCATGAAAATGAAAAAACAACAAAACTCCGAAAAAAAGTTAAGAAATGGGGAAAGAAATAAGAAAAAAGGATGAAAATCTGAAATTTTGCATGAATATACCCCTGAATCGATCCTCTTTCACCGTCGACAGTTTGTAAAAAAAACCCAGGACAGAACTTCCCCTTCCTAGCGACACCCATGAGGGCCAGTATAAAATACAGGGAGTGATAACCCATTGACAGGTCACGAACAAAGACTGTGCCACTGAAGTCCTAAACACTAGCAAAACTAAAGATTCACTTTTTAAAAGATAAAAAAAAATGAACAAGAAGGCAAGCTACTTTAGTTCACACCCCACAGCTTGATACTCTTTGACAGATTTAAGTATAAAGAACGTGCAACTGGTTTCCTGCACTGTGGTAGATTTTGGAGCATCCAGGAATGCCCCTCAAACAAAAGCCTAGGAGTTGGAATTAAACAGATTTCCTCTCCGAGACAGAATTCAAGTTTTGAAGCAAACCCTAACGTACATGTTACAAGGCAGAATACAAAGCAGGGTCGTAGGAGTTTTAAGCATAATGAGCAGCTTATAATTTTGTCAAAAGGTTGTTCAGATGCTTCAAGCCACATTAATGGCCACTATTCGAACAGAAGGTATTAATCGAACTAAAAAACACTTTTTATAAATGGGACATCACTCACTTTGCCCTTCTGATGCACCTGTTCCTTAAGGTCAGTGGGGTGTCTGGAATGATTTTTTTTTTTGGGGGGGGAGGGGGAGTTTGGGGTGCACAGATTTTTCAGGGGGGCCACAGATTTTTCAGGGGGGGTGAGGGGGATGAGAGGGCAAGACCTGGGGGGGGGGGGAGCACGGGCACATGCCTACCCCATAGTTGTCACTTAGGAAGATAATGATGCCAAATTGTTGACAGTTTACTTATGTATCTGTGAACCAGCAATGCTGAAAACAACAAAAGCCAAGTGTACATCAAACTCTCTTTGACTGAATCAATTGTCAAAAAACGGCAACAAACCTTTTCTGTTCTACCTGTACGTACGAGTTGAACTTGGACAGCACCTGAATAATAACGGTCTACTCTGTATTACAGACGTTTGTGTATTAAGACACTAAATTTCTCATGCAGTTTAATCCCAAGAACTTGTATTCTTTCAACCAGGCGCAGGTGAAAGAAAAGGCTAGTAGAAAAGATGTGCGGGATATGCATGACGATACACAGTCCCAAGAAATTGACATACTCAGTCCCCTCATGTGAAACAGCCACTGGCTTTGGTTTCTTCAGCCTATTCTTTAACTTCTACAAAAAAATCTACTTTAACTGAAGTTAGCTACTTTAACTGAACTTTAAATGAATATATAATGTTAAAAAAGGAAATGAATACAATATTTTTTTATGTATATACATTTTTTTTCAATGGCAAAGAAAAGACTGAAATGTCTTTATCAACAAGACAACACATGCGTAAATAAAATGCCTTTACATTTTTCTGGAGTTAGCCAGCCAGGCTTGTTACCTTAATATGCAACTTTTCATGGGTCATGCCATTGCAAACTTTTTCAGGTTTCTTGTTCCTCAAATGACCATCCTCAGGGTGTTCTCTGTATGACTGAAAACTGGATTTTCGAGTTGAATTTGCAAACAATTAATTTCACTGGAATTCCCAGTTACACCAGGTCTTGGCACTAGTTTCATACGTTTTGGACGGATCCTGCAGACTGAATGTCAATATAGAAGGAACTTGCGACGGACAAAAAAACAAAATCTCAAAGAGTGTCACAGGAAAAGAACAAAATCTCAGCGGGCAAAGTAACTAGAACAAAGCAACTATTCTACCCTAGGGAAGGAGTCTAATAATGTCAACAC